AAGACTTAAGAGTAGTTCCAAAAAAAAAAAAAAAAAGAGTAGTTCCGCTATTTGTTAACTGTGTAATAATTTAATACTGGACATATAAGTCAATTATCCTCAGCCTGAATGGTAATTTTAGATTGGACATGACAGTATCTACTTCATAGCATTGCAATGGGGTTTAAACTAGCCAACAGGGGGCCTGCCCATTAGCTCGGTCATTTAAGTGACTGCATAAACAAAGCAGTCAGGGCTCAGGATGCTGTGGTTCGAGCCCCAGATCCTGAAGCCTTACCAGACCTGCCCTGAAGGCATCCTGAGCCAGTCCAAAAAAAAAAAAAAATCCATCTGAACTTAAAAAAATAAAATATAAAAAAATAAACTAGCTAACAGCTATTGTAAAACTTGGGAACCATATTTGGGAATTAGGCTTAATTGCCTATGGCCACTGGCAATAAAATAGAACTGGGAACCAGAATTGTTAAAGGGAGAAGAAGTTGGCCAGAATCCCTGGCCAACAGCTAAAGAATTAAATTAGTATTCTCTCAAGAATCTTCAGCCTTGGGACTACATCCAAGCCAGGGGAAGCACTCTAAGAAGCAGCCCTGGAGCACACTAGTCTTAACACAAAACCAAAGGTTGCAGATGAGATTAGACTCAACTCGCCTCCGGAATGCAACACTTGACTGGCTCTTAGGAATAATGCAATAGGGCTTGCTTTGAAAAACATATAATGTTCTATAAATTGTTATTACCCCCCACACATATGCATATACACACAGTAACACACATGCAGGAACTGATTTACATCTCTGTTATGGCTGAACAGAAGACAGGATCAATGAATGGGCAAAGAGGTCAATAATGAAACTAGGTTATAAAGGCTCTATAGGGTAACAGCTAATCAACTATGCATTAGGAATGAAATGCCTGGCTTCAGATCATGGCTCTACCGTGATAAATTTGCTCCTGTGTAAACATGGGTAACATTACTTCATAAGATTGTCCGGAGAGCCAGGCGTGGTGATGCACACCCGTAATCACAGCACTCAGCCAGGAGGATCACCCTGAGTTAAGGCCAGTGTGGGCTACACAGTGAGTTCAACGCTAGCCTGAGCTACACTGCCTCTGTCTCAAAAACAAAACAAAGACTGTCGGAAGAATTAACAAGTTAATATATAACTTGTTATATGCTAACTTCAATTGTTTCCTGGCACATAATTAGCATCAATTTCCTAATTTATAAAATGGGGTCAACAAAACTTATTATTTCACATGTTGTCAGGTATATTAAATAAATGATATCTATAAAGTAACACATGATAAATTAATAAATATTAGGCATTTTTTCTTAAAATACAGCTGGATAACAAAAGGAATTTTCAAACCTGAGAAAAATATTTTATTATGAAATACAACAAAAAAAATCCACTTTCCAATATGCAAAATGTATCTGAATAATTCCATCTCTTAGAACTGTCAAAGGATTTGAATTAGAGATGCATAATACAGAAAGAAAAAGAAACTACAACTAAAATAGCAATATTCCTCTTGATATCACTTCTAAAGAAAACATTAAATTAAATGGAACACAAATTGAAAATTTTTGTTACTTATGATTTTACTTACAAAGAAAACAACCCTTTTATAATAAAAAAAAATGGACACTCACAAAGAAACTTGCTGCAGCACGCTTTCTAAATATCAGGACAAATGTGGTCATAAGATTCAAAGGTCAACAAACTGGAATCCAAATAAGTAACACTTCTATTTAATCCGTAAGAAAAGTAAGAATGCACAGAAATCAGGGAAAACATGAAAATTCTGAGAAGAAGGCTGCACTCCACAGTGTCAGCCAGTGAGAGGCTCAGGCAGTCCCTGGAGAGTGGCCAGGAGGCTCAGCAACAAGCGCAGACCGCATGGATCCAGGCATAGTCACTGCGTGAGGGGGCTGGGGCTGCAGAAAATGTTAGACCCATCTCGGCACAACGTGAAAATGATTTTCACAGAGAAAAGAGCAAAAGACAACGTTGAGTCAGAACTGTGAGTGGGGATTAGCGTCCCCTACTTGAAAATATTCAAAGTGGGATTTTTTGTCAAGTTATAATTTTTATTATAATATCAAAAAATACTATATAGTGCAGGGGTTTACTCCACAAGGCCAAGAAGATAAGGATAACCTTAGTCTTCCCATATAAAAGATATTAAAGTACAAACATTTACGATGATGAAAATGAAGATTTAAATGGAATGATGTTTTCATTAGATTTTATTAGAATACTTCTAAGAGATTCTTGGCTAACAATGAAAGGAAGATTTAAAACCTTTTTTGGATATGCGACATGTGAACCAGTGTCTATTCCAAAAGGATTATACAGACTTGAGCTCAAGAAACCATCTGCAGCTGGGGAGAGAGCTGAGCGGCAGAAGCACCTGCCTGGCGAGGGCAAGGTTTTGAGTTTGATCCCTGGTCCAAAAAAAAAAAAAAAAAGAAAAGAAAAGAAAGAAATCACCTGCAAATTCTCCTGCTCAGTTCTGAACAACCATAAATATTATTCATCCAACCATCTATATACTACTGTCTAAAAATGTAATGTGAACACCACGTGTCACCTAAAACTATCTAGTACATATATTAAAAACTAAAAAGTAGGTACAATTAATTTGAATATTGTCCACTTAACTCAACATCCAAAGTATGTTTTGGACATTTCTAACCCAGTGTCCAAAGTATGTATTATTAACATAATTCATATAGAATTTATTGCTAAAATGTCTTTCTTTTATACTAACTCTTTGAAATTCCATGTGTATTTTACATTTACACATATCTCAATTTGAAGTTAGCTGTCAATAGCCACGTGTGATTAGTGACTACTATATCAAACAGCTCAGATCTTGAATCCAAGTTTCCCGGAATCAAAAATATGGGTTGTCTTACTCAGACATGTAACTCTGGTATTAAAAACCGTATGTGACATATACCTAGCCCTCAACAACAATCAACATTGGTTGAATGAATAAATGAGCAAACAGAATTATTGGTATTATATAAATCTTCACAAAATCATAATTCCTGTGACATAAAATCCTAATTACAGGACCAAGGACATAGCTTTCAGCGGCACAAGTGCCTACCTGGTAAATGCAAAGTCCTGAGTTCAATTTCTGGTACAGAAAAAAAAAATTCTAATTACATTCTTAGAACTAATAAGAGAAGCAAGACCAGCAATGGTGGACTATACCTGTAATCCCAGCACTCGGAAGGCTGAGGCAAGAGGACTGATATGAGTTTGAGGCCAGCCTAGGCTATACAGTGAGTTCAAGACCAGCCTGGACTACAGAGCAAGAACCCATTTCAAAATGAGCAAACATACACAGAGGTATAAATTATAGTAAACACAATTATAGCCCAGATGATAGTTTAGTGATATACAGTCAATCAATACAAATTCTTAAATAGTGCATAAAATTTCAGATGCATTATAAATGTATTTTACCATCAAGGGAATTTCCTTCCATAATCATTTTTAAGTGATATCCTTAATGGCTCTAAATGCCATTAAATTCCTTAAAATAAAATGAATTACAGTTTGTCTCTCTGTAACAACTGTACTCCACATTCATCAAATAGAGTTTCAATGTATTGCATCACCATTTGCAAACAAATGTTTTTATCCTACTGGCCAATCCTCCCTAATACTAGTGAAAGAATATGCTAAAGACAGCTTCAACTACACTTGGCAAGAAGTTGAATTATACAATTATTTAATTTTCTGGTGGTACTATGAATTGAAGCCAGGGTCTTTACACACACACATGCACACACACACATGCACACACACACATGCATAAACTTCGAAATTTTTGAAATAGAGTCTCATGCTGGGCTCAAAGTTGCAATCCTCCTACCTCCACCTCCCAGAATGGTGAAATTACAGGCATGTGCCATCCTATCTGGCAAATCATACTATTGTTTTAAAGATGCTCAAGCCTCCGAAGCACTGAGAGGGTAGGAACAAATACTTACCTTCTCTGCTAGAAGCTCTCTTATCTTACTTGCTTGAACTCTAAATTTCATGAGCTGAGACTCCAGAGCTACACATCGCTCCTTCCAATCTACCGGTCCTTCGGGCTCAGAAAGCTCGGCCATGTTTATTCTAAGAAGAAAGCATTCAACAGCACACCAATTAGCATTTAAGGAGTCCATTAGTTTTCCCAACACATACACTACAGCGTATGTTGTAGTCACCATCTAATAATATTCAGAAGCAAGTTTTAAGTTCTAAAACACTTTCCAACCCTTGTTATAGTTTATGAGCCTAATGGGAGATCGGAGGCCAGGATGGGAGCCGTTCTGCACTGCTGCTTGAGCTTTCGAGGCCTCAGTTTACCCAATCCAGGAAAAGGGACGCTGAGCACCACAAACTGCTCTTCCTCAGAGGTATGCTGTGAGAACAAATGAAATAGTGCTGCTTCTAACAAAACTTCGTACAACAGAATGGCACAAAACACAACTATTATTTTAACACCACTGCACAGTAAGGTTTTTCTTAAATCTATCAACTCATAATTTTACCACACTCTTAAACGTACAGAAGTCTCACAGCTTTATTCAAATAGTAGCACGATAAACTAAAGAAATAGAAGAGCACTACAATGGTGCTTTAGATTTGTACTATAATTTAGTAGCAATTTTTACTTAGCATTACTCTAAATTTGCTCAGGTTCAAGCTAAGTCTTGCAAGCCACGAGTCCTGTGGAGCATTTAACTAGGTACAATCCTGACAGGTTCGCACAACTTTTCTTGGTGTAAGAGAAAACATGTAACTATGAAATTTGGAATTATCTACTGAAGTAAACCTGGAATCAGTATTTTCCATGATATTAACTTTCTTATGTGAGATTATCTCAAGGAGAAGTACTAAAAGGAAAAGGGCAAAGGCCAGGGACCTGGTTTTGAAATTCTAAAGTAGTATTTGATTTTGGAAGCATGATTGTGCCTGGCTCTTAGATCTATGAAAGCAATTTTAAATACTTGTGAATGTTTAATGGGATAATTTAAGAAGTAATACATTTCTTTCTCATTTTTTGTTCTTCATAATTAAAAAATATTTTTAGTATATAGTTGCAATTCATAATAAATATATTCACCCTGTAGGGTAGGTACATACTGTACACACACTGCACCTTGATCCTTTTTACTTTGCCTTCTCCTCCTCTCCCCTTCCATCTCGCCTTTCCGAATTGCTCTTGCTATGAACTGATAAAATTTGCTTTAGGAATGGACCTTCTGCATGAGCCAAGCCCTAGTCATAGCAAACAGGACAGTAAACTCAGAACTGTGAATGGTACTGCAGTTGAAGTGTACTATTCTATTATTTTGTTTTACAAAAATATAACTAAGGGGCCAGCAAGATAGCTCAGCTGACTAAGCACCTGCATAGGCAAGCACAGGGACCGGGGTTCGATCCCTGATACTGCATGCATGCCAGGCTGGCCCTGGCCCCAGGCACACTGAGCCAGCCACTGAGTCCAGACATGGTGGTACATGCCTGTAACCTCAGCACGGGGGAGACTGAAAACAGGAGGATCACTACGAGTCCTCACTGTGTAGTCAGACACTGTACCAAATCATTAAAAAAATATGTATAATAAGTTTATTTTTCCAGTATTTAGTGTAACAATCCAACTCCCTAAACCTACACCAATTTTTAAAAACCACACATTGCTAAAAACTCAGAAAATGATTTTCCTATGATAAACATTATTGTGCTTATGTCAGTTTTCACATTAATACTGAACTGACACAATCTCATAATAATTTAGAAATAAATAAGATGGATTGATCCACAAAGGCTATAATTTTTATTAAGAGTACCCTCACCAGCTTCCAGATAGCCCTAACTTGGACCCAACTTAAAATTGTAGGACTAAAATACTCTATCTTTGTTCTTTTGCTTTTACAGAATCTTTACCTTTCTGTTTTCTGAGTATTCTCTTTTTGTTTTTGGTTATTAGCCTTTCTCAGGGCCCTTTTCCTTTCCCATACTAGCATTTTCTATTAATTATTCATTTCACCATTCGTAAGAGTCCCCTCCTGATTCTCGGCTCAGTCCAAGAAGTTTATATTTGTAATCCCAAAGATACGTTATTGGAATCCCACCAACTTAATTCCAATCTACCACTCCCAGTGCAATCCACAGCGAAAATAAAGATGCTACAGCATATTTATAATTATGGGGAGCCAAGGGGTCCTAAGTCAGTCATGGTGATGGCTATCGGGAACAAAGGCCTGGACCCCGGGACGAACCCAGGTTTTATTCAGTCATGCAGGAGGAGTGACTTGAAGATGAATGACTGAGAATTTCAGGAAGTAGGTGAATACCGTGAGCTGGGCTAGGTAGGAGGTCTGCATTTACCTCTGTGATATGCAGAGAAAGATATGCAGAAAAAGTAATTTGCATTTTACCACTGAGACAGTATCTACTGGTTTTTGGTCCGGTGCTTCAGCTCTGATGTGTAAATCTTTCAAGCCCCAGGAAGTCATAGCCTCTCTATCTCGAGGCTAGATCCAGGCCAACAGAGTAGAGCACTGGCTCTTCGTCCTGTCTCCACCCGGCTCATATTAATGAGCAGCAGGCGTGGGTTATCAGGGAAACAGTGGGCGGTCTTCAAAGACTCCCACCAGCTCCTCAGCTAGACCAATATGCCTTGCCTTGCAAAGCCAATTGAAAGGGTAAGGAAAAGTCCTAGCCAGCTCTGTACCTAGTAATACAGGGAAACAGGGTCAGGCACAGCCAAAATGGAGACTACTGCTCTTCTTTCAAGGAGAGTCGCCCAGGTCATCCTCCACAACCATTTACACTGTATGGAAGACTTAAGAACAGATGGACCAGCTTGTTAGTCATAAACTTTTTCGCCACTCTACTGCCACTTCATTTCTCTATTTGCTTTAGAGAGAAGGAAAAATATAGAAAAATATCAAGAAATAAAACCCATCATCAAACAGACGTCCTTAGCTCTTGAGCCATTTATATAACCACACAGAAATGTAAGGACACCCATCTATCCTAAGCAACAAAAAGTCAATTTCATGTTAGTTAAACTTTGTGCTAGATAGGTGTTTTCAGGGGGAACAGTGCAGCAGAGAAACAGGCAGAAGGAAAAAGGGAAAGGGGCTTTATTTTCTTTGAGGACACAGGAGAGAATGTGGGGTTGACGATCTCTCTCTCTCTCTCTCTCTCTCTCTCTCTCTCTCTCTCTCTTTCTACTAGACAGGAAAGCGCTTATTCTACTGAGCCATCTCCCCGGTCCCTTGTTTTTGTTTTTGTTTCTTTTGCGGAACCAGGGATTGAACTCAGGCCCTTACGCTTGCCAGGGAAGCGCACGCTTGCCAGGGAAGTGCTAGGCAAAGGGAGACTGAGGCTTTTACAGCCTCTTGCTAGTGGAGGGGTTTGAAGGAGATGTTTAGATACAGCTGAGGAACTGACTGGGAGTCTTTCCTGAGGTGGCAGGAAGGGTGGAAGTAAATTATGTCTAGGGTAAGCTGGAGAAGAAGGGGGAGGTGGTCTTGAGAAGACCACACACATACACCAATTTGACAAAACCCAATATCCCTTTATAATAAAAAAAGATTCAATACATTAGCAATGTCAGGAAATTTTCTCAACCTGATAAAGGACATCTACAAAAAGCCAAGCAACTAATATCATAATTACTGGTAAATGGCTTACAATTTTTGTACTCACATCAGGAACAAGACAAGGATGTCTGATCTTACTATTGTAGTGTTCAGTACACTAGAGATTCTAGCCAAGGCAAGAAAATGAAAAAGGATCCAGATTGGATAGGAAGTGAAAACCTTCTATTTTTATATGAATAATCATGTATAAAAATTCTAAAGAATCCATAAAATGACATCAGATCTACTAAGTTTAGTGGGCTGTCAGGAAACCCTATCAATATAGGAAAATCAGTTGTTCTATACTGAAAACCCCCAAACAACAATATTCCACTTACAACAGCATCAAAATGAACAAGAGACTTAGGAATAAATGTAACAAAAACAAATGCAAAACTTGTATTGTGAAAACTCACAAACTGAATTGAAAAACATTAAGGGTCTAAATAAATGGAAGAAGAAAGATTTGTACTAATAGTGTTTGGACAGGATATCATGTCTGGGGGCTGGGGAGATAGCTCAGTAGAATAACTGCTTGCCTGGCAAACGCAAGGTCCTGAGTTCAATTCCTGGTACCGCAAAAAAAAACCCTAGGATATCATGTCTGCATCTTGTACTATGAATAACTACTACAAAGACAACAATATGCAATGTATTAATTATTGTAGCTGTCCTACTAACCTGTTTTGAAACTGTCTCTGTTTCTCAATAAAATTAATAAAATAAATAAATAAATGGAAGAAACAGTATACTATGGATTGGAAGACAGTATTTGCAAATGAATAAACATAACTCAATCACACCAAAAACTCTCATAGAATATTTTGCAGAAATTGACAAGCTCAGGTTGGGGACATATCTCAGTGGCACAGAATCTACCTGACAAGCACAAGGTCTTGAGTTCAATTCCAAGTACCAAAATAATAATAATGATGATGATGATGATGATGAAAAGAAGAAGAAAAAATTTACCCTACAATTCACTTGCAAATTCAAAGCACCCAGAATAGCCAAAACAATTCTGAAAAGTTTGAGAACTCACATGCTCAAATTTCTAAATTTACTCCAAGGCCACAGTCCTCAAATATAAGGATCAATCAATCAATGGATGAGAGTTGAATCAGAAACAAAAGCTCACATTTACAGTGAACTGATTTTTTGGCAAGGGTACCAAGACAACTCAATGGGGAAAAGAATTGCATTTTCAGCAAATGATACAGGGACAACTCGATGTCCACGTGCAGGTGATGGTACCCTACCTCATACCATGTACACAAAGCCAGGTGTGGTGGCCCACACCAAGTAAGTCAGCACTTGGGAGGCAGAGGCAAGATGACAGTCACGAGTTTGAGGCCAGCCTGGGGTACACGGTGAGATGAAGGCCAACATGAACTACGTCATGAGATGCTGTCTAAAACAACAACAAAACCAAAACCCACTCTCAAGAAAGTGTAAAAATAACCTACAAAATGGAGGAAGATATTTGCAAATCATGCATCTGATAAGGGATTTGTGTCCAGCATATGTAAAGTACTTATAAAACCCAACAAAAAAGGCAATGAGTAAGTGGGCAAAGTATCTAAGTAAACACTTTTCCAAAGAAGACAAATATATAACCAATAATCACATGAAAAATGTTCAACATCATTATGTATAAGGAAAGTGAAACATCAAAGTTGTAATGACATTCCATTCTCATATCAAACAGGATGAACATAATAAAATGAAAAAAACACACTAACAATTATTAGTAAGAATGTGGACAAATTGGAACCCTGGTAATTTGCTGATGAAATTGTAAAAATATTGGAGCTGCTACATGAACAATTTAACAGTTCCTCAAAAGTTTGAACATGAAGTTACTGTAGGCTCCAGAAAACCCAATGCTAAGTATACACGCGAGGGAAATGAATACAATGTCCACAGCAAATCTTGTATACAAATGTTCATAGCATCATTATTCACAACAGCCAAAAAAGAGGCAATACTCCAAGTGCCTACCACCAGATTAATAGATAAACAATGGCTAATAATGTGATAAATCCATCAACAGAACATTATTCAACCATAAAATAATGTAGCATCACATATTACAATACATGAACCTTGAAAACATACTTCAAGCCAAAGAACTCAGACATGAAAAGCCACATATCATATGATTCTGTCTATATAAAATGCCCCAATAGGCAAATCCAAAAAGAAAGAAAACAGGTTAGTGGTCTCCAGAGGTCCTGAGAGAGCAAAGCCAGGAGTAGTGGTAAATGTTTATAATCCCATCATTCTGGGAGGCTGAGGCAGAACGATCACAAGTTTGAGCCCCGCCTGGGCAATTTAGCTAGAACTTGTGTCAAAATTAAAGCAATAATGATAAGGACCATAAGGCCTGGGGAGATAGCTCAGTTCAACAGCTCTGAGTTCTATCCCAGTACTGCAAAAGAAAGAGGAAGGCAGAGAGGCAATGGACATGGGATTTCTTTCAGGAATGATGAAAATATTCTGGAATTAGTGGTGATGGTTGAGGATATGCTAAAAATCACTGAACCATATACTTTTTTTTTTTTTTTTTTTGGTGGAACCTGGGATTGAATTCAGGCCGTTGCACTTGCCAGGCAAGAGCTTATTCTACTGAGCCATCTCCCGGGCCCCTGAATATACTTTAAGAGTAACTGCAAAATGTACTACAAATAATGAAACTATACACATTAAAAGGGTAGGAAGAAGGGAAAGGATGCTCTCTGTATCCTTTTTTTAAAATCTTAACCACAAGAATCATTTTGTATTCCCCTCTCTCCCAAGATGCTTGCTTCAGTTCCAGTGTCTCTGTCCATCTCACTTGTTAAGTTTTTGAGAACCATCCCAAAGGGAACCTGGAGGCCCCAGCGCAGCCTCACACAAGCAACTCCAGCAGCCAAGCTGAGTGTGGTAGGATGAGCCAAATATTCCATAGTCAAGGACACGGAGGGTTGGGAGGCTAGCTCGGCAGTCTAAGCCCCGGCATGGCAAACACTTAATCCAAGATGCTGGACATACTCAAATTGAACCAGGTTCTCGAACTGTCCCAGAAATTGGGCCAGGACCAGCATATCTAATTGACAAGGTTACTGGTCACCTAAAACTTTGCTAGGTGGGCTTCTGTTTGACTATGACCCTATCACACGTGTTTGAAGCTGGTCAAATTCTAACAAAATTAAATTTCTAAAATAAGTAAAAATAAAAGGGTAAAGTTTAAGGTTTGTGAATTATATCCCAATAAAAACAGCTTGTATCTACAAATGAGTAAAGAAAATGTAGCAGTTTAAATGGATAGATACTAGTGCACTAGATGTGGTCTGCTAACCACATTCACAGATTTAATGATCCATTAGGTGTGGTTATTGTTCCCTGCCAAAAATTTCACCATTAACTCAGATATGATCAAATAACCTCAAATGTAAGAAATATAATACACATATCTAGAGTACTTGTTATTGAAATGACATAATAAACTCCTATTTGGTACATCTATTTATTTCTTTACCTATGCTAATTGTGTATTTTATAGTAAATAGTAAAGCCTTAAGAATGTTAGGAAATCAGCTTCAAATACCTACAGTCTTTACTGGTTGGGTTATACACCTGATTTCCTGGTTTCATTAAGTTCAGGCAGTCAATAATTTAAAATAACTATTGTGTCTGGAGACCATCTTGAGTAGTTAAAAATTTTAATTTTGCACACTGGCCACGACCCTTCCACACACACACACACACACACACACACACACACACACACACCCACCCCACATTATAGTGCTCTTCAACCCGGGGAGCTATAACCAATTTCTAAATAAATACATCTAGACTTTTTGAATGTGACAGTGATCTACCTTCTCCGCAGAGAACAGAAAAGTCTTGGTTTTTCAAATACCTCGAATAACTTTTGGAAATATTTACTCGCACAAAATAAACTGTTTACGATTGTGGAGTGAATGCTCTTTTTTCCTCAATCTCTGACTTCCTGTTTCTCTTCCAGATCCCAAAAAGGAAAGAAAAAGAAGTGAAAGAATTCTACCCGGTTGAATTAGGTCTACCGGGTTGAAGTTCTGGGTTAGTCTTTCATAGTCTTCAATTCTCTTCTCTTAAAGAACAAATTAACTGAACCACTGGCTAACTGTATTTTTGCCCCTAAGACGCAAGTCTTTGACCAGAGCGGCACACGCCTTGTCTAGGGAACCTTCCCACCACCACCTCAGCCCACTTTGGCCACGCGTGCCCGCGGGTGGCACTGCCCAGAGCGGCCCGCGCCCGCGCCGGACTGCACCCTTGGGGACGCACTGAGGCGCAGTCCGGGCTTGCAAAGATTGCAGTTTTCACAAAGAAAGCGGCGACCTGCAGGTAGCCAGCAGCGGCGCCGCCGCGGAGCAAGCCGCTCCACTTGTCTCCGCACAGCGCGGGTGCACCGCTGAAGCGGTCTTCAGAGAGGGGTCCGCTCCGCCCGCAGCCGCAGCGCGCAGCAGGGGGAGGTCACCTCGGGGCGCCGACGCTCCGACCGCTCGGGGTGTAGAAACCGCTCCGTAAACTTTTGAGAAGTTGCTCCGCGGAGATCACAGCGGCGCTCCGCAGAAGTCGGGCCGCGCCGCAGCATCCCCGGCCGGCGGGGCCTCGGGGCCTCGAGGACGCGGGGGCCGCCGGCACCTCGGCTCCCGGAGCCCGCCCCGGGCTTCACGCAGAACGTCACAGGAGCCCCGGGGACGTGGGGAAGTGGGGACGTTGGTCCGCGCCCCCGCCCGCCCCACCCACTCCGTGGCGACCCCCGGAACCGACGCCGGGCAACTGCGAGCACGCGGGGTGCTGGAGTCGCGGGGTCGCCGTCGGCCCCGGGCCCCTCCCACCTGCCTACCTCTGCGGCGGGCCCGAAGTCCCCGCTGCGCCCGGCCGGGGGCTCCTTGCTCTCCGGGTTCTCACTCGGACCCCGAGTGGGCGGGGCGGGGCGGGGGCGGGACCACCTTCCCAGGACTGGCAGCAGGGACAACCAATCAGGGGTTCGTACCAACCACAGGGCGTCGCTAGAGGGAGCGACTAAAACTTTGGTTCCTCCCAATCCCCCACCCCGAGAGGGAGTTCTGTGGGGAGGGGTCTGCCTTGCCTTCCCATACCTAGGTCTCAGAGCGGGTCGCAGAAGTCCGTCGCCCCTTTTCCCTCTCCTTCGATTGGATTGTCCGCCTTCCCCCCTTGGCTAGCCTCCCGGCCTCCCTTTGCCAATCCATGCTCCGTCCTCCCGTCGGGGTAATTGTCCCCAAGTTTAGTTTTGCCGCACACTTTGCCAGAGATCTTCATTTGGCTTCTTTTTACTTAAATTACCAAAATAGAGTCCCTAGAATAATGTTCAAGACCTCCACCCCACCTGTTCAGGTTGATTTTTCGCACACTGGAGACCCGGGCTGTATACTCACCCGCTCCCAGGAAGCCCATCCAGAGCGTTCGCCTGCCGCTTGTTACCAAGCTGTCCCTCGACCACCCACTAAGACACAGCTGAAAGGACTCTTTAGGGCACTGTTTCTATGTCCCCGCTTAGCAGAAATCTCATTTCTGTTCTTTTTTCCTGGTGGCACTCACTCTTTAGGTCTTAGGTGCCACTGCAGAGCTCTCCATTAGACTAGCATTTGACAGGAAAGTGTACTGCGTAAGTAGTCTAGTGGGGGCTGGCAAGATAGCTCAGCGGACTAAGCGCCTGCTTAGGCAAGCACTGGGACCGGGGTTCGATCCGCGGACCCACGTGCTGCACAGGCCCCGCCCCCAGCCTCCAAGACCTGGCATATGCCTGTAATCCCAGTGTTGGGGAGGCTGAAAACAGAAGAGTGATCACGAGTCCAAGCTACATAGTTAGACCTTGTACCAACTATATGAAAAAATAAAAATAAGTAGACGAATGATAATTTAAATCCAGCTAGATTTTACATCTCAAACTGGGCCTCAAAAGGCCCTCTCCTGGTGAAAATCAAAGAGAAGGACAGACCCTGAATGTTATGGCTCATCCAGGGCACAAAGCAAGGGCAAGGTGCCCTCCTTGACTCCCAGGTGGCCAACAGGGAGTATCAGAAGACTTTTTTCATTGCAGACTTTTTAAGCTTATTCTCCATAGAGCAAAACGCGAAACAGATTTATAAAGTTCCTTAGAAGGAAGGCAGTAAGTGAAAACGACTAAAAGGCCAGCAAGGGAGCATCAGGCTTCCATATTTCTTCCAGATGAGCTCTAGTTTTGGATTGGATCCCAGACTACCCCCACACATCGAATTCCTTTTGCCTTCTGTGGGAGCTGATGATCCATATCATATGAAAAATTGTCTCCAAACAGCTTTGGCAAACAAGCGAGCTGGACTGGGCTTATTTTACAGAGCAGGCAGGAGTTAAATAAACAGAGTTTAAGTAACTTGCATAATTTAACACAGTAAGTCAGTAGAGACCAAGCAGGAGAAAGAAAGAATGCCAAAATAGAATCACTTCCGTTTGTGAGTCAGAAGTACTAAATAGACTAAGAGAACCGAGTGAATAAAGTTACTCATGAAAAGTAGCTTTTAAACACTGTCGCCACCCTCTCAAAGCTCAGCCAACATTTACTGACTGTCACCTTTTTCTAAAAACATGACAAACTGAATTTGCTTGGCTGGGGAGAAAAAAGTAGACCAACATGCAGTGCTTTAAAAAAAAGTACTAATAGAAAAAATTGCACTAAAATTACACAGTACTATAAATTATTATTCAGTGATAAAAAGAAATGAAGTACTAAAGTATGTTCCACACTATATAAGCCTTGGAAAAATTATGCTAAGTGAACGGAGCCTATCCCAAGAAAAAGCACCTATTTATATGATTCCATTCATCTAACAAGTCCTAAATAGGCCATTCCACAGAGACAGAAAGGCTAGAGCCGGGAGGATGTGAATGACAGCAGCAGTGAGTGAGCCTGCTCTTCAGAGTAATGAAAACATTCTAAAATGTGTGGAGAGGGTTGGACAACTCTGAGAGTGTACTAATATCCATGGATATATACAACTTGATGAGTGAATTATATGTTAAACTGATTAATAAATTAATAAAAACTACCTATTGAATTTTATGTTTTTATGTTGGGTAGCAGCAGATAGAAAAATCTCTCTGGATATATTTGCCTCAGCTGCAGTATTCTACTTGTTTGTAATTATTTGCCTGTTAGTCCCATTATACTGTACCATGAAGGTTGACATGTTGCCTGGTTTTGCTCTTTATCATATAGCTAGCTTTATACCTAGCACATAGTAGATACACACTAAATACTTGCTGAATGAATGAGCAAAGGTAGCAAGGGATGCATTTTCTTGAGTCTTATGACATTCCAAGGATTGCATGAAGGTGTGAAGAATACAAAAGTGAGAAAAATACATTTCTATCAGACAGTTTGTCTTTATGGACTTGCAATCAAGAAAGAAAGCTGCAAGTTCATTGAATAGTTGAACCTATAAGTAAAGAATTGCATTTTAATTAAGTGCTCTGAAGGAAATGCACATGTATTATGTAACTACATGATAAGGCGTAGGCTCGGGAATCACGGAGGCCTTCTCTGAACAACATGGGAGCTGTTACCTGAAAGAATTAACCAGCAGAGAGCAGGGGGATGACGGGAAGAACATTCGGGCAACAGCCCCGTCTACTCTCATTGCCTCTGGAATATATTCCAGAATATATTCCGGAGGTTTCAGAAACCTTGGCAGGAGGTTAAGAGGAGTTTGATTCAGCTTGGTTCCACCAAGCTAAATGAAGTACAATCCCTGTGTGCTTGCCAGGTACTAGAACCTCGCATGGAGTGCGCCTTTGAAACCCAGAAGACACACAGCAGAAACAGCCCAAGAGCCAAGGTGAGGAGGAAAGGCCACATGGAGCGAGGAGATGAGGAGACGAGGGAGGGCTTGAGCAGGAACAGGAGACAGCCAGTGTCTTGCTGGATTCGGGAGGCCAGGTCCTCCTTAGGCCAGCCTGAAGCAACAAGAAATAGCATCAACATTCTGAACTCACAGTTGAAATGAAAAAGCAATGACTTTTCCTTCAGGTAACCACATTTGCAAGGGGAACTTATACTTTGAGCTTTAGTAGTATACTTCTTTATTATATCCTCAAGTCTACACAGAAACTTTTATTTTATATAATTCTTTTTTCTTGAGGCAGGATCTTGCTATGTAGTCCCAGCAGGCCTCGAGCTCACTATGTAGCCCAGGTGGGCCTCACACTTGCATCAATCCTCTTAGCTCAGCCTCCCAAGTGCTGGGGAACAGGTGTGCAGCACCCATTCCTGGCTCATAGAAGCATTTACAAAAGGATTTCGTTGTCATTTTTTGTTTTACAATATTTTGTTTCCTGGAAATACAATTGAGCCAAGAAAAGCTCCCAGGTTTTTTGTTTGTTTGTTGTTTTTGTTTGTTTGTTTGTTTTTCTTTCTTTTTTTTTTGAGACAGGGCCTCACTGAGTCACCCAGACTGGCCCCAAGTCCCAGATCCTTCTGACTTGACTTCCTGAGTACCTAGGACCGACCACAGGTGTGCACCACCCTTTTTTTTTTTTTTTTTTTGGCAGAACCAGGGATTGAACTCAGGCCCTTGAGCTTGCACAGGAAGCACTTATTCCACTGAGCCATCTCCCTAGCCCCCCCCCCCCGCACTACCATTCCTAATTGGCTTTTCTCTGTCTCTTTTTTTAAATCTTGCTTTTGCATGTTATGGCATATACTTTCCTTGTTTTTGAGTATTATTTTGAAACAATTTAATGAGGTATTAATATTATTAAAACTAATCTATTTAACCAGACTTTTTTTTTTTTTTTTTTTTTTTTTTTTTTTTTTTGTATTTTAGGGAAGGATCTACAGGGTGTTTAGGGTCTCACTACTAGATTGTACACCTGTATACAGCCTCCCAAGAGCTCAGATTACAGATGCATGCCACCATGCCCACTCTCAATTGCTGTCTCAGCGTGCCATGGGGGGGAGGGCAGGGCTGGCACAGCAGGCCTGGGAATCGAACCCCTGGCCACTGCACCTGTGCCTGCTTGCAGGTGCTTTAATCCACTGAGCAATTTGGCCGGCCCTTAGCCACTTTTTATTGTACCATTATTATATTAGAAAGCTTTGTCTTTTATGTCCTGCTAGGTGCTTTAGGCTTGCTGCACTTCAAATCCACAGGCATGAGTGCGCCCCTGCCTTAGTCTCCCAAATCCTAGAGCTGGGACTACTGGTGCATCCACTATGCTTTGCCAACTTCATTTAATACTATCTGACCCAGACCGAGACCTCGCCTCCCTGGCTTCCCTTTACTACCACTACATCCAATTAATTTCTAGTGTATAAGCAATTTAAGATTTGGTAGATTTGTTATTGTTCACAGATTTTTTTAATAATTACAAATTTGAGGGAAAGTTGCGTGAATAAAAATTGTGCATAGAAAATCTATAAGAGCTTTACCTACATTCACATTTTATTAACATTTTACCTTTATTCACTTGAAAAACAGCCCACAGGTCCTTTTTGCACCCTCTTATGGGGCTATCATAATTCCTCATAGTGTGCGTTGGTCTTTTTTTTTTTTTTCTTTTTGCAGAAGCGGGGATTGAACTCAGGCCCTTGTGCTTGCCAGGGAAGCGCTTATTCTACTGAGCCATCTCCCCGACCCCATGCATTGGTGTTAGATGCGATGAAAAATACACTTCAGTTATTTGACTGTGAGTGTATTCCTGATGGTCTGGCTGCAGGGAATTAACAGAACTAGAAGACCCAGCAAGGCTCCGGTGATCTTCAGGGTGCTGGAGCAGGATCCTTAGCAATCATGTGCCCATCTGAGACTCTTCCTGTCCTCACGTGCACATGCTGAATGGTGCCCTGATGTCCCACTGGAGCCCTTCGCTGTTGAGTTTATTTTCTTTTCACAGAAATGAAGTCGCTTGGCCTTTTTGTTTTTTAAATGATGGCTCACCATCTTTCTGAGGCTAGCATCAAACTCTTGGGCTCAGGCCACCCTCCTGCCTCAGACTTCAGGGTAGCTAGGATGACAGGTCTGAACAATATGCCTGGCTAAAATTTGTCTTTATTTAGTCAGATTTGTATTGTTCTTTGAAAACCTTATTTTCTAGTGCTCTAATATCTGCATCTGCTCAGTTAGCATTTTGAGTGTTTGCCTATAAAAGGAGAACTGTGGGGAAAGAATGATATAAAACTAATAAATTTACATTCTAGTCAGCTTCAAGGACTCTGGAGTTCAAAGGTCCCTGCAGAGCAGCTTGAAATCTTCTTGGATCATGTTGACCAACTTTATAAGGACTTCTCCTCCAGCCTGTGTTCCTGTTTCCCTGACAACTAGTCTGTTTCATTTCATCTGCACCAAATTGCAAAGTTTTCTCCAGTTCTCGATCAAGAAAATTGGCCTTTGGGCATACTCCAGAGCCACAAACTAAGCACCTTCCTTCTAGGTCAGAGGGCTCTCATGGAGTTTTCCCAATATAAAACTGTGCC